TACGGGGCCTACTAGTAGTCGCCTCAGTTGCGCCACCTCAGCGCAGCTCCGCGAAGGAGCGGCGGAGTTCCGGGCCCGGGTTGAGTCGCTTGGAGGAGCGGGCGCCGCGGGGCTTCGGCTTGACGCCCACGCAGTAAAACTCGTGGTAGCCCGCAGCTCGCGTGGTCACAAAGCTTCGCCCGCAGCCCTTGGCGCAGAGGTACTCTTGGCCAGCGGTCATCTCGCGCACAACTGGACTGCGGCGGTCAATTGAGGTGTGGACGTAGCCCATGGCGACGGCGATATCCATCGCCTTCCACTTGCCCACGTTTGTCTCGATTTCGAAGTCGCCGGCGCAGTGTCTCCGCCCGTTGGACAACGTCGACTCGAAGGTGCCGTTGACGGCGCGAACGTTGTTGAGCAGGCTGAAGGCGACGCGCGGCGTCGGACTGATGAAGGCCGTGATGAGGGGGGAGCCGGGCCGCTCGTCTCGCGGGGCCTCGAAGCGGCGCCAGCCCTGGAAGTAGCGCCGCGACACGTAATTGAGAGCCACCAGGCCGTGAGTTTGCGCGCCGGCGTACACAATCTTCGCGCCGTGCGCCGCCGAGCCGCCGGGCTTGGACCGCTCCTTGTGCGCCTCGTCCGCCCGGACGCCCTTCTTGCAGCTACCGCCGAGCTCACAACGGTCACGGTGCGCGTCCGCTCCCCCGGGCATCGACCGCTTGGCGTGCGCCGCCGCCTCGTCCGGGTCCTCGTAGCCGAACTTGGGGGTGCCGCCGCCGAGCAGCGACGCCTCGTAGTGGGCGAGGGCCGCCTCCGTGCCCATCTTGCCCCACTGCACGACGGGCACGGGGAGGTCCGCGCCGACCGGGAGATCGAGCAGCTCGCGCAACGCGTGGCCGCTCGGCAGGGCCTCGATCGCGCGGCGCTGCTCCGCGTGGAGGCCCCACCACGGCACGCGCATGAGCGGCGTCTGCAGGCACAGGTCCGCGCGCGGCTCGCCCAGGAAGATGACCAGGGCCCAGAAGGCCGCGGCCTCGGCCTCGAACGAGACCTCGCCGGGCACCACCTCGAGGTCGAGGTTGTAGAGCGAGGCGCCCTCCTCGAAGAAGCGCTCCAGGACGGGCACGAAGCGGAACGAGCCGGCGTAATCTAACGCCCATACGTACCAGATCTTTTTCTGCAAGACGTACAACTGCGTCACGCGCCCGTCCTTGATGGCGAGCGTGAGTGATATTGTGCTCGAGCCGCCGGTCTTGGCCTGGGACGGCTCACCCTTCTGCTTGTAGCCGCGCAGCGCGCGCCGGATCGCCGTCACGGCGTCGCGGACGAGCGGCGTGTCCATGACCTTCTTGGCCGCGCCCTTGTCCAACGCCGACATCTCGACGTTCCACGGCCCGTCGCCGTCGGGAAGAACCCAGGAGCCGCCGCGACGCTGGTGTGCCTTGAGGTCCACGGCGTACACGCTGTTGTAGTAAAGCTCCGGGTCCCAAGCGCAGTCCATGATTTTTGAACGCGATCCTCCTCGTTTTTGCCCATTGTGTCGTTCACGGCGGCTCGTGGGCGGGCCCAAGCCACGTCCTTGCTGTCAAGGTGCCGCATCCAGTGCAACAACCATGCGTCCAGGGGTCGTGCCATCCTGGCCGATCGGCTGGGCGGGGCCACGTTGAGGCCGCTCTCGCAGCCAACTTCTTCCAGCTGCGGCGCCGCACGCGACGCAGCGATACTCGGCGTCGCGGGGCTCGACGACGATCCGGAGGACGACGACTTC